CAGCCACCCCCCTCGCCGCTCTTATCTCAGCATCCTCCCCCGTCGGGTACCGGCGCCTTCCCTTCCCTCAGCCCCGGCGCCCTCCCCGCCCTGCGAGCCCGCCTCTCCTCAGGGACCCGGCGCCCTCCCTTCCCTGGGCTCTGCCCGCCGTCCCACCATGCCTGATCCCCATCACGTCTGGTGCCCCAGCACCCTTCCCCCCGACCTGCCCTCGCTTTTACCCCCTGCTGCCCAGCACCCTCCCTCCCCCAGACGGGATCTCCATGGGCACCCCAGCATCCTTCCCCTCACCTCTGCCGCCTTTCCCTGCCGTCCCCCTCCCGCCAACCCCCCAACCTCTGGCGCCCTGGGCACTTTCCCTCACCTCTCCTCCCTGCCCCGGCACAGCTTGTGCAGCATCCTGGCTCTGGGTCTGCCGCACACACATCCTGCTTGCTGCCATGATCCTGGGCGGCTTCTTAGGCATTGCAAACCCCTTCCCTGTTGACTCCTGTTTTCTAAGCCCCCTGCCTGGAAATGTATGCGTGTAAACCATTATTAATCGTGTTAGCGGGTTGTTTGGTTTGCTTGTTTTGTGGTGGTTGGGTTTTTTTGCCAATGTCCCAGGATCAGGTTGCAACTCTTCAGGCACTGATTTAAATGACGCCTTTTCTTTGCTAGTATACTGGCAGTACCTCCCCCTGCTCCCCTGTTGCACCTGCTGTTCGGATGCCACTGATTTAACATGATACTTCACATTTTGCTTAACCCAGTATGTTCTGTAATTCCATGTGTTGCTCTCACAGATCTTTGTTCATTTTACGCTTCATTTTGTGGCACTTTTGTTTTTTTCCCCTTATGTGCTAGAATTCCATACTGCTTGGTATCTTTTGCAGGCATTTTCCTCGTATTTTTTCATTATTTCTTGACTCCTATTTTTTTCCTCCCTGATCTCTCCTGCTCTTCTTACAATTGTACCTCTTTTCTCTGGGATTCATCAGTCTCTGGGATTCCTGTTGAGCTGGGAAAAATGTGAATAACTTTAACTCAGAACTTAGCTCCCGATTCTTTCGTTCTGTGACCTCCAGGCTTGTGACATGGCCACAGATGTAGCTGAGCCTGTGGTCCCTGACTGCAGAGGAGACGTAAGGAGCGGTGCCAGGTCAGATGCTGACTATCCTCTTCGGGTTCTCTACTGCGGAGGCAAGTGCTGAAGGGGCAGTTGTCCACGATTCTTACAATGTGCTGGTTGTGAGGGCAGCCTAGAAAGAACAAGAGAAGCGGAGATTTTCTTTTGGTCAGCTTTTATTGAGAAGCTATGCCACGGTCAGCTTGACCTTTCTGATTGTCTTTCTGAAATAGCTTGTGTTGTGTATTTTATCTAGAGCATTTTTGGTGAAATGTAGGGGTCTTCCCTCTGAGAGACGGAGGTACTAACAGCTTTCTGTGTGTAAAAGTTAATTAGTGGGGGTGGCGCTCAGATTGTGAACTGTTGAGCAGAGATCTCTTCCTGCAGAAAGCCAGTAAAGCCTTTAGCACAGAAAACGCCTCTGAGCATTAGTATGACAATAAGAAATAAAGTTAGAATTAATGAAATTATTCTTTACTCATTACATTTGTAGTTATGTGGGTGAAATTTAAAGGGAAGTAAATCATCTTGGCCGGTATGGCTTTTAGATAGGTATGTTATTTTGCTTTGGGCTTGAATACAGTTGCAGGGGATTAGGAAGGAATCCCCGTTGTGTGTGAAAGTCTGCACAGTTGGTTTGGGTTTGTTCTGGGGCCGAGCCCCTCTTCTGGACGTTGGCGGCTCTGGAAAAAGGAAAGCTAACCAAATCACGTTGTCATTTATTAGGTATTTCTTTTGCCTCGGGTAGAACTGGTGTTTCTTTCTGTAACTTTTCCCAAAGCTGTAGGCATCTCCTTCCCTTCCTTCATTGACTGACTGCTCTTGCTGTGATAGTTTTATCCTAATGCAGAGCGTGTGAGCAAATGACTAGTGAGAGAAAAATTAAAATGTGGAGTGGTATCAATAAAGTAATCTTTTTGAGTCAATGTGTTATAACCAGAAGTTATGACGTAAGAAGCCATCTCTAACTTTAAAATACCATTTTGAATTTAATGCTAAGGCTCTCAGTGGAGAACTTTTTTTTGTAATCTTTTTTTTTTTTTTTCCTTCTTTCTCCAGTCTGTTCATTGCCAACAGAGGTGAGTTAATTTTTTTGTTGTCCGAGTTTCTTCCTTTTGTCTTATGATTCCTGTGGTGATTCTTTCTGATCTTTCCTGTGTTTTCTTAATTGTGGCAGTTCTGTGCTTCAGCCACTGTCCTCTTTAGGGTGACACGAGGTTTCTTATGTGCTGGTATGGTCTTGGTATTCACTCATCTTAAGGAGAAATGGCCAAGCTTAATAGCGAATATATTTTGGTGTATTTGTGACGTATTTTGTAGTTACTCTGCTAACAACATTCATATGACCTTTCTTCTCTAGTACTGCGAATACATGCCTGATGTGACTAAATGCAGACAATGGTTAGAAAAGAATTTTCCAGATGAGTTTGCAAAACTTACCGTAGGTAAGAATCTTTTCTGTTTTCTAATTGATATGTGCCCTTAGACATACTCAGAAATCTTTGAGCTTGTCCAAGTCTCATCTCTTCCCTTTTCCCACTGTATCAAGTGTGAACGTTGATCATTTTCTTAGGGGTCTGCCATGCTTTTGAATGCTGTGAAAATATGTTTGATAACGTCAGAAAACACTGAATAAAGAAGGTGTAGTTTCAATAATAATGTTGGAGCTTTAAGGTTCCTACTGTAACCAGTCATCCATGCACTTATTTTCCATCAAAGTTAGTTTATCGGATTTTATGTCTGCCGTACTGTGGATGGCTGGAGGAAAGGTCATTAATAATAGGGAATTTGTCGATTTGCATTTGGAATTTCAATATTAACACTGTCATTAATTTCTGTCTCTCTGTGGAAGTGATGTGAAGAGACTGTATTGAAATTGTAACTATCTTTGAGCTCAGGCTTTTCTGAAGTCTAATTTGCATAAGTACTATAACGAAGATGTAACACGCATCAGTCAAGGGGCTGCTGCACTTCAGCAAAGAGTTTATGGATTTAGCAAAATATCACTGTACCTTGCTTCCTGTTCCTGTAAGGCTGTGGTTGTCTGACCCCTAATTTGTTCTCTTTCTTCTCCCGACTCCTTTCTGATGTATTTAAGAAAATTCACCTAAACAGGAAGCTGGGGTTGGAGAAGGCCAAGGAACTGCGGGAGGAGAAGAAGAAGAGAAGAAGAAGCAAAAGAGAGGCAAGGTCTAAATAGTTGATTGTGGTACTGATGTATGAGCAGTTTGAGGCATCCCTTTCTCACCTGCTGGTCTGGACTGTGGCACGGATTCCTTGCATTTTGGTTGTTAGCTATGCTTTGACTCTGCACAAAAGATACCGAATATCTTTCTTCTGGTGGTAGCAGAGTTAGTGCGGTGATATGCTGATGAAAGAATTGGATAGTAGTGCTAGCAAGTGAAAGATGACCTGCATCATGTGTCTCATTGCTATTGCGCTTATTCAGGGAGTAATTCTTCTCAACCTAAAATCAGCTGGCATGCCTCCCGGAATACTTGTTTCTGCCCTGTTTAACAGCAGTTTATAGGTTGCTTGCAGAGTAGAACAAAGACTGCTTTCCTCTATTAATGCCTCATGACATTGCTTTTGCCTTTTTTCGTTGCACCCCTCCTCTGTATTCATGTAACAGGCTTTGGTTGTATGCTTTTAACGCTGTCACCTATGTTTCCATTAACAGCTATGTCTTTTCCCAGCAATACTAGTGATAAACATTTTCAAAAACCAACTTTGGAAGACAGAAAATATATGAAACAATTTAAATGCACTTTTATCTTCTATCGTTGGAGTTCTTTCTGTTTAATTAACATATTTTCCACCTTAAATCAGAATGCTGGGGTGGTTAATATGCATTTGCCTGTGAAGCGTCAGTTGTGTCTGTAGTGCTTCAGAAAGTATGGTTAATAGCCCAGTAAGATTCAGATTTTAAGCCACGTATCACTGCAGATGTTTTATTTTTGTGTCTTGGTAACCAGTTATGTTTACCTTGTCAGTAGGCTATGTGTAGTCACAGCAGTAATTTATGTTTTGTAGCTTGGATGCTTTTCCCAGAGACTTCAGGACATTTTCTTTCAACATTAGTTTATTTGTGTGGGGTGTATGGTTAGCTTTCAGTCTGGTTTTTGTTTTTAAAATTATAGTGTTTAAAATATTTAGGGATTTTCTCCTAGAATCTAAAGTTTCATGAAAACTTACAGTATGGTGTTAAGTATGATGGTCTAAGATTGACCGTAAGAGAGAGGGTGAGGAAAAACAAGCAAAAACTTACTAAGGCACTGCAGAAATTTACTGAAGAAATTTTAAGGCAGAAATTTACTGTCTTAAATTATCGGATACCAATATATAGTAATGTAGAATTGAAAGTGCTGCATGTTAGAAAAAGAACTAGTCACAAGGGGTCAGT